CCCTCCCCATCACCTCCCCCGCCCCCCCCCCCAAAGGTCTGCCACACACATTTTGCCCTTCCATTTCATCCAAGATTTTTGCCCTCACATTCTTTGATATTTCAGAACTGCCAGTGAGTTAGTAATCATAATTATAAGCTATTTGTTACTTTTATTTTCCATATTCCTAAGGTGCGAGCTATCCTGGTGAATATATTTGGTGGAATAATGAGGTGTGATATCATAGCCCAGGGCATCATAGAAGCTGCTCAAACTCTGCAGCTGAAAGTGCCTATTGTTGTAAGGCTACAAGGTAAGGTTACTGCCAGATTCCTACTTAATTGGTTTTAGTAAGGAGTCCTTTTTCAAAACCTAATTGTTAAGTATGTAGTTAACCTTTGATACATGTACTGAACTAAACCGACTTCAATTTGCTAAATAAAAATTTTCCATATCCAGTTAGTTGACTGTGTATGATATTAAAATATTTTGAAGGTAATTTAGAGGTTTGTTATTGGGTTCCTTTTAAAGAAGTGATATTTTATAAAATGTAAAGCCTAACATTACGGTATGCTTTATTTCCAATAATTTTGTATTTCAAACACAATAATTTGTTTTCCCTAGGCACAAGAGTGGATGATGCCAAGATGTTGATCGCTAATAGTCCACTAAGAATACTCGCTGATGATGACTTAGACAGTGCTGCCAAGATGGTGAGTGACTGTTTCTTTTTAATTGTACCACCAGCGTAGGCGCTGGCGGTACCCATGGTTTTAGTCCCGACCCGTATGTTCCGCCTGCTCCGCCGGCTCCTGCGGCTCCTGCGGCTCCGCCGGCTCCGCCGCCAAGTCACCGTTACCGCTTCTCCTCCTAGACCGCAAGGACCCCTGTCCCCATCTCTTGGATTTAGGTCACATATAACCTCAACTTGAACCCCCAGGTTTTTTTGTCTCAGTCGGTACATTGACCTGGGCGTGACGCTCCTTGAAATGCACCCTTGTCAAAATTTTTGAAAATTCAATGCCAATTATCTACCCTACGGAAGGAATTATGGGAAAATTTTCTACAGACGGCTTTCCAAAAGTCATATGTGTAGATTTCAAATATGCCCTTGGATTTGACCTTTGACCTTTATTTCAAGGTCAAACGGGCCAAAATTTTCAAAAAAATGAAATTTTTTACGAAAAAAAATATTATTTGCACTGTTATTCAGACACTACACAGACTTAACCAATAATTATATTGGAAAGTGTTACCCTTTGGGTCATCTTTCATCTCTGTGAATTTGGGGTCAATCGGTGCATTTTCACAGGAGTAGCGGCCATAAAATACCGAAAATGAAAACTGTCTCTAATTCGGGAACCGTTAATGCTAGCGACCCGTTCTTTTTTGCATTTTGTAGAGCATGTAAAGCCCAACACTGAGAGTGGTCTCCGTTTTTTTGTATTTCATACGGTTTTCGTGTTATGCTGTATTAAAAAGTACTTTGTGGTGGCACATTTTTGTAACTCAGAATTGTAACATTTAGTCCCTTATATCTCCAAAACTGGCAGAGATAGGTCAATAGTTATTATTTAAGTTGAATAGGAAGTCATTTACTTGCAATCTAGATGTGAGCTTGAAATTGACCTTTGACCTACTTTTCACCATGAACTGAACTTTGCAAATTTTTGTTCCCTTTTATCTCCAAAACTGGCAGAGATAGGTCAATAGTTACTATTGAACTTGAATAGGAAGTCACATACTGGCAATTTAACAGTGACCTTAAAATTGACCTTTGACCTACTTTTCACCATGAATTGAACTTTGCCAATTTTTGTTCCCTTTAATCTCCAAAACTGGCAGAGATAGGTCCATAGTTACTATTGAACTTAAATAGGAAGTCATGAACTGGCAATTTACTGTGACCTTTAAATTGACCTTTGACCTTCCTTTTACTATGAACTGAACTTAGCAAATTTTCGTTCACCTTTATCTTCAAAACTGACAGATAGGTCCATAGTTACTATTGAACTTGAATAGGAAGTAATACACTAGCAATCTGTGACCTTGAAATTGACCTTTGACCTACTTTTTATGATGAACTGCTTTTTGCATGTTTTCTGGCCTTTAAATCTGCAAAATTGGCAAAGAAATGTCCATGGTTGCTATTGAACTTGAATAGAAATTCATATACTATGATATTGAAATTGACCTTTGACCTACTTTTTCACCATGAACTGAGCTTTGCATATTTTCTTGCCTCTCATATCTTTAAATCTAGCAGAGATGTGCCCATTGTTTCCCCTAGGTTTTCTCTTTTGTCAGCATATATGCACCATTGACAACACATTTCAAGGAAAACCAATAGGCCTTTTGTCTAGAGAATACAGTAGTGAGCAAGGGTAGGAAAATGCAAGTCAATTTGAAAATCTGCTTGATTGTATCATTTTTAGTTATATTTTTTGCATATTTTGAGAACTCTTGTTGATTGCATCTTATAGAGCTTGTCAAACACCAGACTGGTGATGGTGTCCCTTTTAGGGGGGGGGGGGGGGGTCCATACGAATGCGCTTACTCCAGCTGGTGGTACAATATCTGGAGGCGGTATCGCCTCTCTGATCCTCTAGTTTTATGTGGTTTCAAAAAGTGAAAAATAGTCACGATGATCTGTTTGTGGAACAAGCTTTGGTACTATATTTTTAGTTTGCATTTACTTGAACATGAATGGTCTTCCACTTTCCTTACCTTAAGTAAACTCTATTGTCCAAGCTAAGGTAAGGTGTAAGAAATATAAGTCCATGACCTCAAGTTTTACCTTACAGTATACATAACAGTTGCAGTTTTTTTTTTACAAAAAGTTTGTATTTGAAACACAAAATCTCTGGAGTGTCTTGATCTCTTTGGCACATATACTTTTACAAATTTATTTTTTTCATAATACTAGAAATTATGAAAAATAATCAGTTATTTGGAATGGACAGAGGCTTATAATTGATTGTAAGGCCTTACTAGGATATTTCAAGAAGAACAAAAAAAGATACCCAATTTATGCTATTTCAAACCCCATTGCTTTCATTGACAAGAAAACTATAGACATTTTTCTCCTGTGACCTGTACCTAATGCCAATAGTTTTTGACTTAATAATGCATCTTTTTATGCCAAAGCTTCCAGATATTTATCAACACAAAATCAGAACAATGTATCATATTATTTATAACCACAAACTATTACATGTACACAAACATATTGTTATACACATTTACATATATTATTCCCCTACACTGTGATTACCCATTGCAACCTTGTCTTTTGTTCTATTTTAATAGGCATGATACAACAGCCTGTAGTTATTCGTGATATATAATTTTACACTGTATATATTGATACATATGTATACATGAGTAAGTGAGTTAATTTTAACTAGAATTTATTTATATAGCATACAATATGCGAGTTGATGTTATGTGTTTAGTGTGAAAGTGATGTTGATGTTTTTTGGCGAGATTTTTAATCCCCCCCCTATTAAGAATGTTTTCTCAAATGTTGATTGTGAGTGCAATGTTTAATGTAAATGTCTTAAAACCATGCTGTCACGTGCTTTACTTCTTTTAATCTAAGATAAAGAATTGAAAAAAATATATAAAACAAAAATATTGTCAGTAGTGTCAAGTTTTGCTCAGAATGCATTTTGGACCAAAATCTGCTGCCCCCCCCCCCTTCTCACCCACCCAAGCATAGTTGGAACACTATTGTATTATCAAGTGAAGGAAAAGAGCACTGTGTTCCACATAAGTGTTACCCTTCCTTTTGTTTGTTTGTTACAGGGATAGGGTTACTGATAAAAAGACCCCAAGTAGCCTTTGTTCCCTTTTTCTTTTTTCAAGAGCATTGGTGAACTTGTGCCTCCTTCCTTCGTGCATTTAACTTGTAAGGTCGTCATAATTAGATAACTTTGGCTCGACCAGGTACAAGACTTGATGAACAGATTGTTTGCACTAAGGTTGTACATGTTTGGTGTTCATAGATATCTCATATTTAGATGCATGAAATATATGTGTATACCGGTGTATAATACCACTGAATTAACTAAAGGTCGTGTTTTATATCTCAGGTATGCTGACAACGTTATATGAAGACTTGTTAAAATTATCTAAAAAATAATAATACCTGATACCGGGGCGCATAGAAAGGTTTGTTTAGCATGGTTTTGGTACACCGAATGTTTGGGATTGCTAAGATCAAATGATGAATAAAAAAAAAACAAAGGTTATAAACAAAGGTTATGTCTTTTTAATGTTATGTATTTTATTTTCATGAGCTTCCAGTAAAATGTAAAAATTTTGTTAAAATTTTAACCAAGATTACAGAAATGAAATGACGAAAAATTAAGCCAAATAAGTACCCATTTTAAATCGAGCTTTCTTCATGCTCGGCATGCGATTTTATAGTAAATAAATAAATCTGTAAACCTATACAAAACGGGATTAGGCCTACCTCTTGACGTCCTTGCATCGTCACTACCCCTACCTAGCAAAATCATAATATAACCCGCATCACTAATCTCTCCCACGTCTTAGCCCTGCACCTTTTCTCTCCCCTACCCAACCGCATTGGGTTTTGAAAGCCGATTCGAAGAACTGTCACTTTCGAGCACCAGTAAGATGTAAGAGTGGTGTTTTATAAGTTGGTTTTTAACTTGTGGGGAGAAACGGTGCGGCGAAGTAACGGTAATAACGAAATGTAGCCCCCCCCCCCCATCAAAAAAAAAAAAAAAAAAAAAAGTGCCCGATAGCGGATAACATTTATATATTACAAGTTGGTTTCGTACGGTACGACATGTATTTTAAACAAAAACACGTGTAGCTACAAAAAAGTTATCTCGGCTTAATTTTGGTCCTGCCTCATGTTTAGCAGGAATTCCATCATCAGAGATCATCCTGTACAATTTTATGGGTCTTTTTGCACATTGCTGCCAAGCCTGGAGGGGGGGGGGGGGGGGGGGGGGGGGNTTTTATAAGCTATTTATTTCATTTTTCAGCTCTCAGTTTCCCCAGTGCCATGCTGTCCAGATCTTGTAACTATGAGTCCAAAGAGCTCTTAGCTTATGTATCCTTTTTTATTCAATTGAACAGAGCTGGCATAGCTTTGTTAAGAACTTCAACACTCCAACTAAAATAAATAAATAAATTGCAGACTGGTTGGTGATAAAATTCAAATTTCAGATCTGTGACTCAAATTTGACCATTGCTACAAGTTGGAATTCAGCTGCATAAAAGACTGTTCAGAAAGTTTGCTGATTTTTATTTAAAATGTTCAAAAATGCTGCTGGGGAAATGGGGGATCCTTCTTTTTATGTGTCCTGTTGACCCAGTCTTGATTCCTATTTTTTACAAAAAGTTTTGTATTGTTTGATTATCTGCCCCTTCCTTAACTGAGACCCCAGAGAAACCAGCCCGGTAAAATTATTGTTATATATGACGATGACGAGAGGATAGCTCCCCACGTTGCCACGGTGATGGTAGAGAGGGGGTACGAAAATCTCTTCATGTTGTCTGGAGGTCAGTAAACACTTATTCACATTGAGAGTTCATTCTTAATGTTTCATCCTTTTTAGTGTTCTGTTTTGAAGGCCCTTTCATGTAATTCTGACACAGAGGACTCTTTATGCTTTTATGCTGTATGCGATCGGCCAATATGTATGAGGATACATTCTTGAACACTGTAGAAATATGGTGTACATTGAGCATCAGTGAGTGAAAACTAGCTGTTATTAATTTATTGGCCAATTTGAACATAACAGCTTGGCTCACATTATACCCAGACAATTAAGCTATCTCTCAAACAGATTGCTAAGATGCAACTTAAAACAATACTACTCAAGATAACGAATTCAGTTTTATGCTTAGACACTGATGTTTGTCTATCTATCTGTCTTGTGCAGAATCATTTGTCACTATAATTTTATTTCAGAAATGGGGATGGTTTACCTTCAGGGTTATCAATCCCATAATTATCATCCTTTTGATAACAGTACATTTTTGGGGGATTTTTTGTAGAAGTTTCTTGACAATAAGACATGTCATAAAGCATATTTTGGATTTTTTATGAATTTTCAATTATTCGTGAAAATATTTCATATTTCATTTATTTATTTGTTATAATTCTTTTTTTACAGGTCTGAAGTTTGCGTATGCTAACTTCCCCCGTGGTCTAATCACAGGGACACCCCCGCCAGTGGTGCAGCCACAGAGGCCCAAACAGACAGAGAAGGCCTCACAGAGGTACTTCCATCGTGCTGATGTAGACATGCTCATGGAGTCTCTGGACAACGCACTCATGGACAAGAGTACAGGAAGTAAGTTCCTTTTATTTTTTTCTAAAAAATATATTTTTAAACTTACTTGTGATATAGTTTTGAAGGTTTGACTACCCTGTTGTAAAAAATATCTGATTAAGAGTGACCCCAGTTTTGTTTGCAAACATTGAGTGTGATTCGAGAAAACATTTAATGGCATAAAGAGACCATGTGTCCATTAAATATTTTCTCAAATATTTAAATATTTTTTCATTATATTTTTTTAAAATAATAATTTATGTTTATGTAGGTCGTCTTACAAAAGCAAGTACAGCATCTAGCAGGATGGGCAGCGTGTCACAAATGACAAACCGTTCTCTGAAATCCAGCATCGACACAGCTAGGCACAGTAAACCGTTTAAACCTTAGGCTAAATTAGGGACAGCTGACAGGTATAAAATGACTGTACAAAAACTACAGCAAAATGAACAGCACTATTGCTCGTAGCCTGCGGCAGTAATCATAATTAACTAACATGGGAAGTTTTAAAACCCTGTAGAAACAGGTACAACAGCTGACACATTTGGAAGTTGAAGACTGGGAAGTGGTCTGTGACCATGACTTTGTAAAGATTCAAACATTTAGGGAAGATGCCATTGAACCTGTAGGCTATGTGCAGTGGCAGATTTGGGGGGTTGGGGGTGGAATTCCCCATTTGCCAAATCAAAAATGACAGATTAAGCCTTCACCTTTACCCTCTACCTTTTGTCCAAAGTTTGGACTTGTTGCTCGGCACTGAAAAAAATAACCATTTGCATGATTGAAGATTTGCCTTGCAGCAAGTGCAATGGGTGCAAGCTGTGGAGGAAAGAAAAGTTTTTTTTTTTACAATTTTGGGTCCGTCCCAGTGCTGTGTAGCTATGTATCTAAACTTCTTAACACAGGACCATCGCTGTCAAGATACAGTTCTATCAGGATTGGCTGTTACAGTATTAGATGTTACAATGTAAACACTACAAACTGCCCGACTTAAGTTCATTGTGGAGATACAGCTACAGGACTTGATTTTTTTTTCACAAGCTGCATCAGTCTGTACATTTTATTTGACAAATGTAGCATGAAGTTACCTTAACAGATTCATACTTGTTAAGTTTTTTGTAATGATTGAATGCCTTGAAGTACTCAAAACATATTGTTAAGTTGACCAGTATCATAATTATTTTCCTTTCTTCATTGGAGAGAAAAAGCATCCCTGCTCTCATGTCATTGTTGCTCACAAGGAATAGTGTATCATGATTTGAATGTGTACAGTCATAGTAGTACTTCTGCATGGAATGATGCCCTACTGTTTGTATTGTATTGTACTGTAATGTATAGTGTACAGTAATTTTGGATAGTATGCGATACTCATTATCATCATGAAGATTGCTCATATCTGTCATTTCTAAGGATTTGATGTGTTTTTAATACCTGTATATGAGAGGCTGCAGGTGGTTTATTTGTAAAAACTACATATTTATATAGTGTGCCTGCTTAAAGAAAATACCGTCCGCATTACCTTTCGTACCTTAAATCTTGCCCTCAAGTCGACCAAGGAGGAAGTGCCCTTAATTTCCCAAGAATTTGTTCAATTTTTGTGCATTCCATTTATATCAGGTCCTTAAAATATCTTTATATTTTGACAGTTTTATGAAATATCACTGTTTCATGATACATGTAACTTTTACTATGTGTGCGAGCATTTCGAATAAAGTATTATTTTGCACGCAGTATTACATAAGTATCCTCATTTCAAAATATTAAAATTATTGATGTCTGTGATGCGTTCTTTTGTACGTTTGAATAAAGAATAGCCAATGTAAATTTATATTGCAACTGCGTCTCTGTACTTTTATGAAATAACATCTTAATACGTACGATTAAAGGCGTTTTTCCATCATGGGGTAATGAACTCTTACTCCAGGGATAACTACTCTATAGTAGGGGCTATAGTGACGAGAATAACTCCACACACAAATGTTCTCTGACAGTAGAAACAAATGTCATGAATTAGTTAAAGCAAGGAGTTATAACAGTCTATTATAACTCCTTGGTTAAAGACATATCTGTGAACACCTAGTGAAAAATCAATCCGTGACCCCGGTGGAGGGTAAAAGATAACAGTCATGTCGGGGATTTGTAAAATAGAATATCGAACGCACGCACATGTTTGCTTTGCGTAAATTCCAAGGCAGTTTCTAGTTTACTAGTATACTACTGTATATATGCAAGGTTGTATGCTGGTATCGTGATTTTACTGAGTTATTTTGCGTGGCGTTGAAAGCTTATCAGGTTTTCCCAATAATATTATGAAAACAACATCGACTATTGGAGAAGATGCACTTACTATAATATTCTGTTATTGTCATATCAACACCCTGTGCGTCTGCTGGATGTTGATTTGGCTTTGCATATTCCAGCACGGCAGGGCATCCCACCAGTTGACTGGCTGGCAGTGATTTGAATCTCAGGGTGACCACTACAGGCTGCTGATGCCTTGGACCCACAAAACGGGTCTCAGCTGATACGGAAGAAATGCAAGGGCGTTTTCAAACTTCTGGTGTAAGGGGGTAGCATGCTGGGGAAAAAAAACAGCCAAGGCGTTGGGCCATACAACCCTATGGGAAATGGTGTTTGGAATCCTGCCAATAATTTTTTAACGAAAACTCACTTGATTATCACTAAAAGAATAGTTTACGCGTATATACCTGAACATACCTAACAAGTAAAATTTTATGGCATAAAAAGGCTGGAATTAGTCAGTAAATTACACTTGAGTTTTTCACTATCCCTGTTTAATGCATGGACTGCGCATCGTCTGCTGCAGAGTTCGGCAAATCTAAAGCACTCGCAACCCCTTATAGCTTTCTATCATGACCCAGTGATAGTTCACTGGACGACGAGGAGGATTTTACGTGTATAATATCGTCACTTCTCACACGCTAACATTCAGGGTGTTAAAAGAGCATGAGAGAGTATCACCGTTTTTCCTCCCACGTTGTCAATAAACAGATATTTTCAAATCGTTAAAGTCAAATCAATTTGGAGTCATGATATTTTCCATACAAAGGGATGAGTAAACAGGACGAGCTAAGGACCCTGAGGCAGTCATGGTGAAAATTCTGTACTATTTTGTCACCTGTTCATTATGGAGAGGAGGTTCTAGTAGACGTTGAAAGTCAGGGTGAAGAAAAAAATAACATTTAAGTTGTAATCACGAGCCAGAATTCACAAGCTTGGAGACAGGGTAGACAGTCGCATAAATATTTTTTACAGTTATTGTTTTATGATACTTGTCGACTCAATGAACACACGGTCGTAAAATTGTGTTTACAAAAATCGCTTTCATACAAATACCTCTGTAGAGCACGTATCAGTTTTGATAACTACCGCGGAGCCGGAGAAGTAATTCGACGAGCTTCACAGCTTTTCCCAAGAATTATTCACATTTGCTTGGATATTTTCTTTGATTCACATTAACTAAGAAATAGGGATATAGACATGTATAAATGACACTGAAATCGGGCACAATGTACTCCCGCAGGAATAGGATCTTGACTAATTATCTGACCGCTGTTTCAACCACATTGACCATTACCATTATATTTCTATACGGTGCCATCCTCACCAGTTCCAAAGGGCGGAGAAGCATCCTTCAGATCAGTACGGGGAATCGCTTGAATATTTTAGACATCGACGTTTATCGAGATATTGAAGCTAGACATCTAAAGGCGGATGATCCAGGGTTAATGGAATATGTCCGAAGAAAGTTTCTATTCGCCCCCACAGAGCGGCCTAGAAATTTGTCGAGGAACGCTGTGGACTACTCCCAGGCCGGACAATCGACACTTGTTGACGAGATTTTGGGGCATCGCACTGGTGGATTTTTCGTGGAGTCGGGCGCGTGGGACGGGGAGACAGACAGCAACTCCCTCTTCTTTGAAATTTCTCGAAACTGGACGGGGATTCTGATAGAGCCAGACCCGTGGAACTTTGAGAAACTTTCAAGGAAAAATAGGTGAGGGTGCGTTGTCCGTGCGTGATACGATTTGTTTACGAGTACGATGACCTTAAAAACGTATATCAGTTTAAATTTACTATGTTTTATACATACAATAAAGAATATTATCAACTGTGTTATATTGCCAGTAATTTATTTACAAGTACTATGTCCTTGAAAATGTAAATTAGTTTGCATTCACCATGTTATCTACATGTAATAAAAATAATCAACTGGGTTATATTGTCAGTAATATTATGTTTTCTTCGGGTTGTAAATCAACATCAATTAAAAAAGTTTACTCTTTTTTTTTCAGAAAAGCGTACACGGCCCAAACCTGTCTCACTGCAAGCCCCCAAAGAATCGATTTCACGTTCTCCGCCGCCCCTGACAGCGGTGCGGTGAAGCCACTATTCCCCGACATCCCAACAGTCGGGAAAACGAAGATACTCTGTCTTCCCATCCACACCCTCCTGGCGAGCATTGGCGTGAGGCACGTGGACTATTTTTCCCTGGATGTGGAAGGGGAAGAGCCGGCGGTGCTGAGGTCATTTCCTTGGGAGGAAATTACGGTGGATGTATGGTCGGTTGAAGTCAACCAGGGTTTAAAAAATCGGGACGAAAAACTGGCGGAGATTGCAGGAATATTTGATAAAGTTGGACTGTACAGTAATGTTAAAATGGTGGCTCACGATGTTGTGTATGTTAGAAATGTTTTATTATAACAGTACATTATATGATTTTTAATGTATGGACGTTTGAGTAGGCGGAATTTTGGCTTGCCGTTACAGAAGGGCATGAATCAAATACGCCCAAAGTTGTGCGTCTAATCGAATTCACATACGATACCCATACGTACGGTAGGTGTCATCCAGATGTAGCAGCGCCTTTTGCTGCTTTCATAGAAGACTTTATAAATTTGCAAGATGTGCCATTTAAACCAATATATCAAACTCTACGCAATGTTGCCTTATAATTTGCATTTAAGACAGTAAAGCGCCGGGAGTGTGTATATGGCGTGTTGCTATTTTTTACCACCCATTGTGAAAACACATCAGTCATTCGCTTCGCACATTATACAAACACTCCCGTCTCTTGTATCAATCCATAAAAAAGTCAATAGGTCTACCATCGGAACAGTGCCATATGCATTGTTGTTTTTATCACTATACACATTTTCTAAGTATTATTTCTGATGGATGATAGTTGAGAAAAGAGATGTGAACAATTTATCAATAAATAAATAAATAAATTTAAAGGGACAAATGCTTTTATCGTACATACGAGCCATAATTTTTAGTCCGTTAAGCCAGCAGTTTGGAAATTTTGAGGGGAATTACACAAACACGCCACTTTGTCACCCTACGATTACTGAAAATCACCGACCTAAATGTCATTTAAAACGGTCATTACGGTTATTAGGACCTGGTGTGACGCCTGAACCCGAAACTCCAAGAGGCGAACATTTTTAGATAATTAAAAAATATATTAATTATTGGGTGCTGTTTGGTCTTACTTTTTCATTGAATGCAACCTTTATATCAGCATATCGATCTGATGCAAAATTCGAGAAATTTTAATTAATTTTTCAAAAATCAATAATAATAATAATAATAATAATAATGATAATAATAATAATAATAATAATAATAATAATAATAATAATAATAATAATAATAATAATAATAATAGAAAAAATATGTTGGAAATATTAATCAAGGTCTGGCATACGCACAAGTAATCCCTGGCCTGGGATGACATCTTACTCTTGCCATGAGTTGAGATGACCTGACACGGCATCTCTTTCTTTTTCAGGCCTGTGCAGGTTAACCAAGAAAGGCTATTAAGTTTCACTTTAGCGATTTATAAAACTGCATGTCTATGGCATGGATCAGTGCTTAATGAAAAATCAACAACAACAATCTTTTATATAGAAATACATATGTATGTGGATCTATTTGTTCTGGTGATAATCCAAGGTAGTCAACATGAAAGCGCCTCTTGTTAAAAGCAAGAAGGCAACTAATCCATTACTCCTGAACGTCGGGTATGAAAACATAATTCAAGTTCTGAGTCAGACGCTGTTGCTTCATTTTTTTCGCCGTTTCAGACAAACAAGATTATTNTACTTCATTTGTTTATTAATGCTCTTTGTAGCTTTTATATATAGATATTTTTGAAACATACTTAGTTTCTGTTTTGTATTTTCTCTTCTAGTTTTTTACGGTGATGTACAATAAAGATAGCTTACATCAATACCGTTGTCTGCTGTCATTCCTCTGCGTCCAATAGGAAGTGGCAGTACAATTATGTTGCAATACACCGCGCGTAAGTTAACCTGCCAATGTGTGTCACTGGTGTTTTCAAAATGAAAAATGAGGTTGTGCAATAATGCCAGACCCCGGCTCTCCTGTTGTGCAAGAGGTTTGCACAGCAAATGCCAAAAACACACCATTGGAGCTGCCTCAACCTCAGAAGGTGCTTTGATTGCTTCCACCTCCAACCCAAGTGAAATGTCTTCACACAGGATAATATATAATCCATAACAGAATCAAAACATGTATGGGTGAGTGTTGTTTTTGTTTTTCACCGATGTTAGCAATCATTCAACCCTGGGATATTGATATCTCCATCGTTTCTTTTATTTATTAGCGTTAGATAAATTGCACAGCCACAGTGGGCGCTTGGGTGGTTTTAACCTAGAAATACTTTATTATTATTATTATTATTATTATTATTATTATTATTATTATTATTATTATTGGATACCAATACTTCACCTAAATAAAAAAAAATCTGATGTGTGCAAATAAATCAAGAGCTTTTATCTATAATATTATTTGAAATTTAATGTAGTACTTTATTTAATGGTGTTGTCTGAATATTTGCCAGTTTTGCTTTCTTGTTTAGAGAATGTTAAGGGTTCAAGAGTTGTTGCTAAGAGATATGCTGTTAAAAGTTGTTGCTCTAATTTCAGCCTAAAATTGGAGTCGTGCTTGAATCTTGGGATTTTTGTGATTATTGCACAGTCGCTGTTATTCTGGCAGTGCAAATGCACAGGAACAGTTGGCGAGAAGGGAGGCATAACAAGCACAAATAGAAGAAAATTGAACAAAACTAGAATCACTGGGAATCCAGGAGACTCTGGCTACATCACATCTCCTGGTTTTCCAAAGAATCCACTCATATCAGGGTTATCTGTTCAGAAATACAGACTAATTGCTAAAAATATAAATGGAGTAATTGATATCACGACTATTGATTTGGTATTTTTTCCCAATGACAATTTTGCATGGAAATATATGCTGACAGTAAGTACTAGTATATTAAAAAAAGTTATCTGCAGCTTTTATTTTTTTATTGCACAAAGCAGTAGAGGTTTTCATTCTAGATTTTGGTGGATGATTATACATGTACCGGTATATCATTTGAAGTATATTTCTTGTCTCTGCTTTAATGAATTTGGTAGCCTTAATATGAGTGAGAATCAATTGGAAAAGGAACTGCACAGTTGAGAATTGAAATTTCCTTATTTCAGATTTATGATTGTGATTGTGAAAGAAAAGATAAAGAGATCAGAATTACGGAGAGAATGCATTTTGTATCATCCGGCAGGTATCTAGTAGTGATATTTAACCCTCATTATGTAGTGGATGGTTGGAAAAACCATGGAGTTTTTAAATTACAGTACAAGTTCATTTACAGTAAGTATTCAAGGCTTCATGTTTAAAAATTTTCTTATTATTAATTCTTGTAGCATTAAACATTGGAAAAAAATACTCCAAAACTCAATAGAATAGGTATCTCTTGTGTAAAGATGATAGAAAATCAGACTAAATATCTAAGGAGCAAAATGTCATGCCTTAATAAGTAGAACATTCAGTCTATAGATTTAGAAAAACTTACTTCAAATTACTTCACCAAAATTGTTTTAAATAACATACAGGTATTACAGAATGTTTATATTGGAAGTCAGTGACAGATACTGATTTAATTCAGATGAAGGTCAAGTGGAGGATGATCAACATTACATTACAATATGCTAAATTTACTGTCATATCATTTGTGTACATAAACTGACATACTAGTAATGTTAATTATATAAAAATTTCTTGTAATCAAATTGATTTTTTATACATATTTTCATTTAAGGATCTGTGCCAGAAACTATATGGATGAATAAAACTGGTAAATGTTCTGGTATTTTCATGTCATTCTGTGCTATGATACACCACTTAATAATTAGCATGTGTGCATGCATGTGTGTGCGTGTGTGTGTGCATGCATGTGTGTGTGTGTGTGTGTGTATGCATGTGTGTGTGTGTGTGTGTGCATGCATATGTGTGCGTGTGTGTGTGTGTGTGTGCGTGCATTCTGAAATTGTTTAATGCAATAACCTGATTGCTTTCTCAGAGTATAGAAGATTAAGATTTTTAGTGAATTTATGTATTAACATATTCATATGTGTATATACCAGTTCTAGTATACTGGGTACAGTGAATCAGGACTATGTCATAAATTGTGCATAAATGTACTTTTTAATCATCACTACAATAAGACTTTATATTTAACTTTTGTAAAATAATAATATGTCAGTGCTAACAATGCAGATTAATTCTAAATGCTTTATATATATAATAATAAATGAACAAAAGCTCACATTGTTTTTTATGGCAGCATGTGGATACCTGGGAAACGTGGTCAACCACCTCCCTGCCACTGACAGATCATCCACGGCCTTTAGGTCTTATGGACACATGGAGTTTCCTCCTGATACAGCGTGGAGGGGAGAGAGCATAAGATTTGACTGCATATGGAGTTTCAAACAAGCTCATCTGTATTCCACATCCCGAGTTGAACGAAGATTTATATATGCAAAGTTCTTGGATTTTGAGGGGACTTCATGTCTGAATCTGAGTGAGTCTTGTTTATTTATTTATTTATTTATTTATTTGTTTATTTATTTATTTTTAGAACTGTAGTTTTACAATTCACAGACAGATTTATTGAATTTTTAGTCAACAATGTTAATCTTTGACCTAAAAGTTAACTGTAAGTTGCTTATAATTTAAGGCTAATCGAATAAATAATTAGGTTAACTCAATGTATAATTAAAGTTAATTCAATAAGAGCCTATTGTACAGTTTTAGAATAAACTGTAGTGGCACTTCCATGCAATATTTGGAACCAATCTTAAAAAGGCAATAATTTTCTAATGTTTCACAATACTAAAAAAGAAACGATCATGACTTTTGGATGTTAATCCATATTTAACAGATGTAGAGGTTAGGAAGTCATGGCATTCTGACGGTGAGGTGCTCATATCGGGGCCAATAACAGATGTAATAAAAAATCAGCCAGGCACTGGACTGGTATCACGTGGCAGCATGTTTATCAGACTTACTGGATCACAAACATGGAGGTGTGGCCACGACCAACGCCTCAAATTTGCCTACACCTATTTTGTTAGTAGCCTCGAGAGTAAGTTTTCTTCTTCTTTGTTTATAAATGTTATATGGGGAAGTTGACAAAAGAATTGGAGTAAATTTCAATTTGGATAAACATAGGAAAGTTGATCCAAGGATCTGATGTAAAACCAGGTTAACTCCATTTTTTTGCCATTAATTGATCAGTGTATGAACAGTACTCATTTAGAATTTTAGATAAAGGGATACTTTATGATCAATTTTCCCTTTTGAAAACATACTCAAAGTGTACAAGTCATATTGAAAATCAGTTCAAGTTTTAGCTAAAGCCATCCTAATACTGAGTTACAATATTTCATTTGAATATTTATCACTTTTTTAATATATCATGACACTTATTAAAAATGCTGTTTAGTTATGTATATATGTATACTATTTCAGGTGCTAAACTCTGCCAGATATATTTCCTGGGAAAATATTATGAATGTCAGGGACAGATGCGCTGCATTCCTGAGCAGTTTCAATGTGATGGCTATGATCATTGTGGAGATGGAGAGGATGAGGCTTCTGATCGGTGCTCAGGTGAACTGATTTGATAAAAGTTTAATATCAAGTCAAATCTTTTTTTTTAGCTTTGAAATCAAAATAATCACAATTGTTCACATTGGGTGTTTATTACCCTACATACGTATTCTCTTTAGAAAATGGAATTGCAACCTAACAGTGTCATTATGTTTAATGTTATAATTAAAGATAGTTTGCTCTTATTATTTGAATTTTTTTTTGTTAGATCACACTACCACTCAGAGTTACTGTCCCTCTTACAAAAAACGCTGTCCAGATGGTAAATGTGTATGGAACTCTGATTCATGTCCTGTAGATGACTGTAAGTATTCTGACCTGTTACCCTGTGCTTCTGATGTATGTTTGCCAGCTTTATCATTTTCATTTTCAGATCTCTACCCCTTGATGTATGTGTGTGTGTGTGTGTGTGTGTGTGTGTGTGTGTGTGTGTGTGTATGCGTGTGCATATGTGTTGTGTGTGTGCATGCATGTGTTGTGTGTGTGTTGTGTGTCCCTACCTCGTGTCTCTGTTGATGATTTTGAATCACATTTGTTTTGTTTTCAAATTGTATTTTTTATCTATTCATTTATTTATCTTTTTTTTTAATATTTTAAAGCCTTTTTA